AAATGAGAGATAGATAGATATATATATAGAGAGAGAGGTGTCTAAACTATCAAAGAACTAGTTTACGCTTTAATCTTTAGTGAAACTGTTTTGAGTCTGCATCAAAAACAAAATTTTATTTGTCTTTTTAGCCTACCTATCCAGAATCTGCTTTAAAAAAATCTCATTTTAAAATAAAGTTGTATTACATGTGTCTAGAAAATGTATCTTCAAGAACAGTATACGTTCTAATATAAGACATGTTCTGAATGCTAAGACATTAAATTAGAGTAGACTTTCTACTATAGACTCTACAGCATTGACTACTGAAAATACAGCCGCATACTTCAGTCCACAATATAACACAGCAACATATTGACAGCATCTACATCGAATAAAAAAGTTTCGAACTAAAACATTTTCTAGTTATATAGTTATGCTGTTATATTTGTTAAACAAAAAATGTCGATAGGAACTAATTTCTGATCCTTCTTTAAGTCTTTAATAACAAATATTTCAATTTACTTTCACAAAGAAGAAACTCTGTTACCTGTTTAATTAATTCTTCTTCTTTCGCCGTTTCTTAATTCACCAAACTTTAAAAGATAATCGCAGAGGAAGGAAAGTAAAACACTTCTTTCTTAACTAGATTTAATTGTCCGTTTCTTTTAGTTAGAACTCATAAAAATCTAGTGGTGATATTGCTTATTAGTTCATATGTCACTGTAATGTCAAATATTTATCGTCTAAATCTCATGAGCTGACAATTATTATAGTTGAAAAATGCATTAAATGGCTAAATTCATTTGAAAAAAAAAACACAAAGAAAAATGCAACAGTAATGCTTCAACTAAATACGTATTTCAAAAAGATATTAAAAAACATCATGAGATCAATTAATGCACATGAAATAGAATTGAAACAATCTATATTATAAAGTAGAATGTGAGGTGTATGTATGTATGTATGTTACTTATTGACATCAAAACCGCTTGACCAATCTTGATAAAACTAGGCAGGAATGTTCCTTGGGTACTAGCTTAGACCGTAGTGTAGGTATTGTAGCCCTAAAACAAACTTAAGACCCTCAAAAAAAAAGTTGTCCGACTCTATTACAGCTATAGTATTTTATGGATCTAGGCCATGGTTAACAATGTTGACATGAGAAAAGATCGAAAGGATTTAGACCTAGATCTAATTTTAAGAAATACACTTTGCGCACATAGTTTTTTACTTTGACACATGAAAATACAAAAGAATATCCATTGATTTCATTATATAATAAAATTAACCTTCAATTTTGTGTTTCAAAAGCATTTTTTACATAAATTAGTTCCTGATATCTGTGACTACAGATTTCCTGGCAAACATTCTTTCGTTAGACATTGATAATTGGTTACACATTACCACATCTCTCTATTGAGTCTATTCCTAGGTCTAGATCTAAAATTTTTATTGAACTCTAAGATGATAAAACTTCTTTTCGCAAAGATAGTTTTGTGCTTTAACACATAAACATACTAATTATTGTCCATTCATTTGATATTTTAATCAATTTAACATTCAAATTTGTTTTTCTAAAGCATTTTAATACATTCGTTCGCTGTACGCTAAAACTGCGTAGCCGTGATGAGATAGGCCTATATTCATTCATGAAAAAAAGTCACGCATGCGCAACACAGAATTAACTATAAAAGCCCATTTTTAACTCTAGATTAGTGTACATTTAGATCTAAGTCTACCTCAAAATCTACTTTATACTTTAACACATGAACATACACATATTCATCTCAAATTTTAATCAAATATATGTAGGCCTACAAGCAAATGTTTTAATTTGGAAAAATGGATTTAAGCCTATTAGCTATAATTATTTGATAGCTTCATTCACACTATTTTTACATTGACACATTGACGCTTTACTTATTACATTATTATTTCGTTTAATTGTGACTATATCGACAGTAATGCGCAAATAAAGACCAGCGGAAATCAATATTCTCAACAGCAGAATATGCCAAGTAAATAATTTTCATATTTTTATTTAAATATGTAATTTTGTCTCAGTGTGCATTAGTGTTCAGAAAGAAATAATTCACAAAAAAATAATTCTTGGTTGTATACATTAGTATCTTCAAAAGTTGATTTAGTTAGGGCTCAACTATTTTTACTTTTTTTCCATTTCAATATACAGTACAGTAACTCAAAAGGTATGTGTATAAAATATTTTTTTTTGACAGATAATCATCCTAATGATGCAAATGCTGCTGCCTGGGCAGCTTACTGTTATGCAAGGTATGGACAGAAAGCGGCACAACAGCCAGCAGCTCCACAGCAGTCTGCAGCACCTCAACAAAAATTTGAGAAGAGCTAGCTAATTAAAATGTAATTTAAACATCTTTTATATATATATATATATATTTTAAATATAATTTAGTTGACTCCTCCTTTTAGATCAGCCTATCAACTATTATGTAGAAGTCGCCTTCCAAAAAAAAAAAAGCACTAAGCTTAGACCATTGTATTCCTTCTTGTTAAAAAAAAATCAAAACCAAATTTGTTAAAGGACAATGAAACCATTTTTTTTTTATTTTTTTAAAAAAACATCGCATGTAAGAAGTTGACTTGATGTTAGCATATTGTACTTAATTTAATTTTATATCTCCGTAATTATTTCTCATGTTCCGACGGAATTATTCATTTTCACATATATATTTCACTACCCTGTTTTGATTAAACTTTAATAACTTATCAGAAAATCTTGTATTTGGTATACAATTAAAGGAGAATACACACCCTTTTTAGATAATTTAAATTAATGTTTGAAATTAAAAATTAAATCTTCATGACTGTGGGCTAGTTCTCTTAAAACAAGATCTAGCCAATATTAACCGAATTGTATAAAAAGTAATTTTTTATGATAGCTATTTATATTTTCACAAAATGTAATATGTTGCATTTATAAAATAATGATAATTGTCATTAAGTCACTATCCCATGTCAAACCCCTTATAAAAATTAATATATCAAAATAGAGCCTTTTAAGCAATTGAAAGTATTTTGTAAGGAATGATAACAAAACAACTGACTTTTTAAGCATCTGCGATAAAATTGTTGATTAGGATTAGAAAGAATATAAAAATTAACAATAATTTTAATAAAATAGAACTCAAGAAAGTTTCAAGGCCTAGTTACTGTATTAGGCTAAGCACAGTTTACTTTGTGTGTCTTTACAGCCTGCAAATATGCTAGGTCTCAGGAAATCACCCATAGATATTTATTTATGTCAGAAAAGAAAAGCAGTTTGTAGAAATCTATGTGCTTTTAATTCAAAACTAATTTGTATCTGTCCTCAGTTTTAGTTCAACCAGAATCAGCCTGTTTAGCAAGTAGGACACATTGAGAACATCATTTTTAGCTTTGTGGCTTGTTAAGTGGACTTTCTGCACTTTGACTGATGGGCTTGTAGGATAATTTTATTATTATTTTTTTTTTTATGTTGACCTTGGAGAAAAATTGTCCTCAATTTTTTATTTTATTTTAATGGGAACATCCTTTTTTTTTCTTTTCCTATACTTTAAGATTTGTGCATTTTGTGTTGTATTTGCTGGTGTTTGCAATATTTAATCGTTATTATACATTATATATTGCATTCATTTTGGTGATGATTAAATATCTGTAATATTTTTTGTTTAATTGTATAGTAATGCCATTATTAAATCACTCTGGAGTAAATGTCACATAGTATTTTTATTTTGGAATGTGCTCCTCTTATATTTTATCTGCATTGACATTGAAATGTTTGAACAAGTTAAATTATAATTGCTCTAAAATTTCAGAATGATAATGAAATAAATGATAGTATTTTTGTTTTGACTACTAATGTTCAATTTTAATGTTCTTACGGGTGACACATAATTTATGACTTTCATGCAGATTCAATTTTTATCTAATGCCCTTTTCATTAAGACAAGTTTGATTTGAAATTTAAAACAAAAAGTAGAAATCATGCATTATTTTGCTATTTTAAATAGAACAATTGTTGTGCTTTAATATTGGTATTTTTTTTTATTTTGAACTTTGTACCAACTAGTAAGATCAGAGTTGATTTAAGAATGGCAGCTGTATAGTTTTTACATTTGATTTTATCTAATCCAGCTTTGCCCCATATCTAACTGGTGTCATTTCATTGATGTTGCATTGTGCTTGGGTAGAACCTTCAGATATCCAGTAATAGTTTTCAAGTTATGAAGCTATTCCCCCCAAAAATGCATTATTTATTTGATCTTTCCAAAAAACTCCAAAGATCACAATTAGATTGCATTTCTTAAGGTGCTCTCTAGGCACAGTGTATATCTTTGAACTTAATTGAAATGTCCCCGTGAATTAAGGGACAAAGAATTGCGAATCAGCACCCAGACGTAAATGCACCACATTCCGAAATTTACTTGTGGGATGTGCACTTTTCAACAATTAGACAAGAATTTTTAACTAACTAACAGAGAAGTGTTTTACTCTTTGGTGTGGTATTGGTTTTACTGATGTATCAAGAAACAGATTGTGGTAATGGCTTAGAACAGATTTGTAATTAGCTTTGTAATGTCTTGTAAATAAATAAATTTGTAATTTTACTTAAAAATGTTTATTCCAAATATTGATAAAAAAAACTTGGAGCACATTGTGAGGATTTCTGTTTTTCTAATTCTGGGTAATAATTCTTATAGTAATCGTTGATTAAACAGAATCATCACACGCCGGATATTATATTAATAATTTGATATTTCACTAAAGAAACATTTTTATTCTCGCAAAACTTCTTTAATAAACTTCTTCAACTTTCACACATAAGAAACTTCTCAATTCAATAACAACTTGATTTAATTCTTCATAAAATAAAACCTAAAGATATTACAAAACTTCAACTAGTATAATTTCAACTAATGTAACTTAAACTAATGTAACTTCAACTAATGTAACTTCAACTAATGTAACTTCAACTAATGTAACTTCAACTAATGTAACTTAAACTAATGTAACTTCAACTAATGGACACTCATACTAACACAAGACCAATACTAAGCAAAGACCGTTACAATGCAAGGGCCTCGACTAACTAACTTTACTCTAATTTATACTTTTCTCAATCGTACTTTCCAGAATCATAGAAACTTCTTCCCTAATTATATTATTAACTGTGACCTTCTAGAAGCTGACGTATGCTATTTGTTCCACTTAACCTCTTTTTCTGATTGGATGACTAAAATTAACTTGTTTACACTGGTTAGCACTGACTTGACCTGGGCTTTTAGAATATGGTCGAAATAGGTCACAGTTTCGACTCGGGATACACATATATTCAATTTTTTAAAATAAATTTTGTTCTTTATGTCTTTTTTCTTAAGGCTTGTATTTATTATATAAATTTTTTAAATATTGAACACAAGCTTCAGTCACATGGCCAGACACAACATGTACATTTCAGGAAACAATTTCTAACTAATACCTGGGATTGGCTTGAAGGAAAGTTTAGCTGACATACATTACATGAACTTTAAATAATTTTTTGTTGTATAATTCTTTGAGTGTGGCGCAGAACTTTGGCTTTGATAGTAACAAAATAATTTCAAATATACCTATGAACCAAAAAATATTAACAATTTCAGATTAGTGTGCTTTCAGACATCTGAGATCTTGATTTCTTTTTTTTTTTTTAATTAAAAACTTGTTCTGTCTACTAGCTTATGCTCCTATCTTTGCGATGATGAATGATGAACATGATCTCCAGCTCGCCTCTTTCGGTTTATTTATAAACCTGGGGAAAACATGAGTAATTTTCCTGAAGTCACCCTCACTATATTACCATTCAGCCCCAAAGATCATCGTTAATGGACAGCCCCATAAGAGGGTAAATCACTTCACATGTCAATGAAGCATAGTATCCAATGACGCATTGCTTTCAAGGGAAGTTGATAATCATCTGACCAGCGCCAGTAGTGTTTTGGACTCCTCCAGACGAGAGTTTGAAGGAATAAATCGCTCCTCTTGCCTAAAAAATGTCGACCAAGCAGTGGTTCTCTCAACCCTTCTTAATGGATCTGAGACATGGGTATTATACAGAAAGCAACTAAGACTACTCGAAGGCTTTCACCAAAGATGCTTGCGCTCCTATCATGGATATAGGCTGGCAAGACCGCACTACAAACAGTGATGTCCTTACAAACGCCGGTATGGACAGTATATAGGGACTTCTTATGGTCCAACAATTACGATGGGCAGGGTAGGTATCCCTTATGGGGGACGAACGTATGCCAAACGCAGTCTTTTTGGGGAGCTGAAAGGTAGTCGCCGTAGCAGAGGTGCTCCATGGAAACGCTTTAAAGTCCAGCTTAGGCGCCAACTTGCTTACACTGACATTGAAGAGAGCATCTGGTTGCAGAACAAGACAGCCTTATTAATATAGATCTAGAAAAATTCTAGAGCTAGTCTATATCAGACTCAGTAGATCTATTATTTATACAATAGTAAATATTTAATATACTTCTAGATCTACTGTTCAGCGTCAAGACCTAATTTACACTTATTTCTAAAATAATATGAATAGGTAGACTGACACATAGTGTGCCTTCTCTAAATTTGTACAAAAGCACAAACTATCTTTACAATCTTGTCAGTTACGTTTTCAAACATAATACAATTAACAATATTTTGGCAATGGTTTTTTTTTTGTATTATTCTATTTCTCTTAGCAGGGTTTAAGTCATTTAATAAATGCATGACAAGATTGTCATAAGGACAGTCATAGGACGTAATCATCATTTTTGGGAGTAGCGTCTGTATTAGATAATATAACATAACACAAGGAAGGAAATTGGGGAAAGGAAAAATGCCAGAAAGTTTTCGATGGTAGCGTCGTGACAATTATTGTGTGTGTTTGTGTATCATAAAATGCCGGATACTTGACATAAGCTAGTCATTAAAAAATACGCAGATCTTTGGTAAAATACTCGTGAAATTATGTACTGAAAATGTGTACTTTTACTTCGTTTCAGGTCTTTTTATTATAGCCTCTATTTGCTTTATCCCATCTCCCAGTATTTTGAGCAGAATTTTTTTCTCTATCGGGTATACTTAAATTCACAGCAGAATTATGTCAGTTTAAATTAAAATGAGAACTGAAAAATGCAACAGATATATAAGCAAAATGGTGCTTTCGCTTGGTAACAAATTCTAGTTTTAATCCAAGAAACGAAACGCGTAATATTGACCATTACTCTTTATTCTAGAAATATACTGACAAACAAAAAAAGTTATTTTCAACTATATACTCTTGAAGCTCTTATGTCACGCAAGACTTATTATCAGAAATGTGTATTTCTAAAGCTACGTTAATACCTAGAAAGTCTTCCATCTCTCAGGAACGAATAATAATACCTGCGCACCAATCCGTTTATCGACGTCTCCGCTGACACACATTCTCCTCTTAATTCATCTTGAAACTCTTGGTCTATGGAAGCTTGCACATTCTGCCTGTCTGAACAAACCTCCGTCCTGCAAAAATCAAAACATAATGTCAATTACTATTGCCTATTTTCTCAAGACGCTCGAATTAGAAAAGAAACTAAACACCGAGAAAACCAGAGAAACTGCCCCATATTCCTTCTCTCTCCCACATTAGCCATACATGTGTCCGCCATAAAAAAAAACAACGTTTGTATCAAAACAAAAGAAAAAGAAATGATTGTTAAGGCTTTCTTCCACAAGCACCCCAAAGGGGCTCATTATAGCATCCCTATTGGCCTAATCTTTTTTTCTAAAGACAGTTTTCATCCGAGCGCCACGGTGAGACTGACGGGCTGAGATTTTATAATTTGTTATTAAATGATGGATTAGAAGGATTGTAAGTAACCGGACTCTATGATCATTTTATCGCACATATATCATTAAGTGTTCGTCCTTTCTATAGTCGAGAAATTAAAAAAATTAACGAAAAGAATTTATAAATAAATAGCTAATAAGCTGTTTTCCTCCATGTCTAAGTCGGTGACAACTACTTCGTATTTAGATTGTAAACACAGCTGTGTACTCGTGCGTGTAACATGACACAATTTTATTCAATGAAACTGGTTTGGGAATTCCGATATACTTTTCACTTTTTTTTTAAAGTGCTAGGTATCTGTGCTAGGAGACACAAAGTTTTTATTTTACTATATTCGTACAATATTTTGAATTATTTTAACTACAAATAAAATGGAATCTAAATGTATTTAGCATTTTACTCTTTTTTATTTGAAGGATAACCAATATTGTACCTATTACTCCAAGAGTTTCTAGAAAATGAGGCCTTACTTTGAGTTGGTGGACATAGGATTAAAACTACAGGCTTTAGAGGAGATGAAAGAAGCACTAAACAATGTTGTAGTGGATATAGATGTGGTGAGTTAAAATATTAATAATCTAATATTTTGTTAAATATGTTGCCCCTTTATTATTCTATACTTTATTATTGTGGTGTTAATCTATTTAGAAGCCTACTGAATATGTTTTACATTATTAGACCTATTTTTAAATCTAAATTTAGTCTAACAATAAAAAAATCAATCCATATGAATGTATATATACACAATTTGTTACTTATATCAGAGTGAAATCTTTGAAAAGACATTTACATTTATAATAGTTTCCCATTATTTGGTCAAAATACACGAATGACCTAGTCCGACGCCAGCTTGAAATTGAAACGCTTGATTGCCTTGTTGTCATGGCTAAAGAAGATACCGATCTAATTAAGGCAATGGAGTGCAAACTTTCTCCACCTGTCGAGATTTAGCAGCGCATTTTCCAATGTCAGAAGAAATCTTGAGACTCAAACACTCGTCAAGTGCTGGTTTCAAGCACTTGCAGTATTTCGGGCATTTCTCGAGACAAACAATAGGGTAACCGTAAAAGTCATCCTAAATGAAGCGCATGACCTCTGAAAAAAACAAACTATAGCTTTTTAATTCCACAGATCTATAAATTACTAGCTCTACACACCGGCTACGCCTTTGATTAGCCTCTAGGCTTTATATTGTTTGTCATGGCTGGATTGCTGGAACACCTCGTTTTAAAATAAACAGACCATATTTTAAAGATCAAACTAAAATATTTTTAGACCATGGATAAGAGTATATTACAATGAAATTTGATGGCCCATTTCTCTTTCCTTCTCTCTCTCTCTTTTACTCTAGCTCTCTGGAACCGCAATTTTGTTGTTAATTTCGTAATTTCTCCCACTTTGATTTTTGACTAGATTTGCAAAGACCCACTTTATAATGCGCCCCCTACACGTACACGCACTAATTTTTGGGACCATTAGTTTTTGTAGCATATTTGCTTATCAGCTTCCTCTCCCACTCCCGCCAGCAACGAAAGTTAGTACCTCGTACACATTCCCGTTTCTTATTCTACAATTTCGGTATTTTGTTCTCAAAATGAAAATAAATATCCATTTGGTTTTATTAATTGTAATTGTTTATTTGACCACATTTGACTGTAGCGAAATGACAATAGATCAAGATTTACTTTTCAATGCTATTAGAATTTAGTTGTTTTTAAAATTTCATATTAAAAAAAAAAGATGGAGTTTGAATAATGTAAAGTGTCAAGTCTTTTCTGTTTGGTGACGTGTTCTTTGAGCGTATTGGACTGGTCTGTGCACATATGGATGTGATCTTTTGGTCGTGTCAAATCGAAATCAGAGTTAGAGATTGAGTGAGTGAGGCTATTACAACGTATGTCAACGTGGCTATTCAACCTAGTCATTCTATTGTGTTCACAGCGTTGGGCGGTGTGCATCCACCTAAGTCAAAACCTTAAAAACATAAAAAAAAAATAAATTTAAATCAACGAAAGAAGTTTAGTCTCTTCAAAAGCATGACTCAAAGACGAAAGTCAGGATCAAAGGCCTAAATATATTAAATATCTAAACTGGACATGGAGATCTTTTAAAACTACATAAAATGTGAAAAATTTTAGTTGAAGTTGAAACAAGGCGTTGTTTTGAAAAGTAGCTATAAAAAGTAAAGTTGTTGTTTTTTAACCCTAACTAATGTATAATCATTTAATTTATTTTTTTAGATCTAGATCTAGTAATGGAACACCAAAAATAAAAGTACTCTCGTCTCATAATTATTATTTTGCAATACATAATCTAGAAAGATCTAGGTAGTCAATCTATGTAAATGTACATATGATTAAAATCAAAAGACATGAATTATTTCGATCTAGGATATTTGAAACATTATCTCAATGAAAACTAACAGGAAGATGCTTTGTTTCATATATTTGCGTAAATATATAGTTCTGTGATTAATTGCCCA